ACGCCAGTGAGCCATTAAGTGTGGAGATTCCTTATTGGTTAACTGCTGTATCTAGTTTATGTTAATTAAGATAAGCTGTGTGTAATGTATATATACCCCTCCTGTCCTACAATAAAGGGCTCCCACTCCTGCTGTATCAATGTACACAAGTTATTCGACACCCCCTGGTTATTTTGCTGCAGCCGGACTGCTGCAGGCACTAACATCATACAGAGCTTCCAAATTGTACTGTGTAAGTCCTTAAGCTTAATAGTTTCTCTGAAGTGTGGGGCAGAATGGGGCCTGAGCAAGCACAAATACCCTACTCCTCCATTCCCCCAATTTAAATTGAACCAAACTGCTTTTATCAATTTTATATTTTATAAAAATATGAAGAAAATAAAATAGTTGATTTTGGAGTTTTGTGATTGTCAGTAGTGTCTGGAAACTTCTCATCACATTGAGTACCAATTCCTAGTGATTGACTTGGGTTTAAATTATTGTCAACTGTAGTTAGAGATGTATTACAAACCCTGTCTCAGGGATCTATTGAGGAATTCTATAACCTGTTGAGGTATGCTACTAATAGCTAATTAAGGCTAGTTATTAGTAAGTATTTGAAATGTCTCAAGGAATACAAATCATCATTTGGACTTGAATATGGCAAATAGTGACTATTTTTACCCAACTAGACCTGACTACTGGGATAATTCTACTGCAGACAATTGATCTTAGTCCTGTAAATTAGGTATAATGTAGTCATGTATGTCTCTTAAAAATGATGAGATCTATAGTAAGTTTAAACTTAGACTTCAGGGCTATATCTATTTCTGTGTGTGAGTGTGGGTAAGACAGAAAGAGTGGGGAGAAGGGGATGCTTACTTTGGGAATTCTTTAAATTTGGTTCTCTTTTTATTTCCCTAGTATTCAGTTTTCTATTATTCCTCCTTTGAAAAATAACATCCAATCACCTAGCTTTAAATACCATGTCTATGGTAATGGTGCCCCATGTTTATACTTCCTTCCAAAACATAGAATTTTATAACCAAATGACCACATGAATTCTCAATTGATGATGAAGAGATTTGTCACACTGAATTCTTAAAATCTGCACTTTAATCTTTGTCCTCTACTTTTTTCAAAATTTAGTTTCTGAATTCCTCTCTCATGCTCACTTACCTAGATGTACATAGGAAATAGATTGAAATATTCAGGATAAAATATGTGTGGATTTTGTGAAATAAACTTGTTTTCAACAATATTTTGTCTTAATTTAAAAAAATTAAAAACTGCTTTCTCTCTCTCTTTTTCTTTTTTTTTTCGTGAGATTTTGTAAACTGATTAGATATGGTTAATGATTAACAAGTATTCAGATGTCTCAAGAAAGAAAGTCATTACCTGGACCTAGATATAGCAAATAATGCCATTATTTTTACCTAACAAAAACAACAAACAATGAACAAAATATTTTTAAAAAAGAAAACAGAATCACTGATTTTATATTTCTTCGGTTACCCGTTGTCTCTGGGAAATATTCATTACTTAGAGTTTCTATTCCTGGTTATTGAGTTGGGTTAAATTACTTACCAATTTTAGTCTTCTTTATATATTTGCCCAACCAAAGTATTCCAAATATTACTTCAGTTATAAAACCCAAATTGACTAATCTAACTAATACTATAATCAATCACCTTCTCTCACTATTAACTTCCCACACAATAGCCATTTTTTCTATTTAACTTATATTTGTTTTGAGTTTCTATAACCATTTTCTTTAGCATTATTATGTACAGAAATTTAACTAAATTTGGAAGGCTGATCATCTCATCCTGTAATACAAATTTTTGTTTTGATATGAGGAATTTCTATACTTCACTGTATTTATTTCACTTTGAGGATAGGCAGAGTTCAAAACCCAATTGAGTCGAATGTATGAAAGATGATATGTCTTGAGCTCTGTAATGTTTTGAACAACCAATAAAAAAAAAAGTTATAATTAAGATAATTTAGTCCACATTTTGAGAATGATTTTGAATGGAACATATAATGTGTGTGTGTGTGTTATTAAATATATATATTGGAGTTTGCTCTACAAAGGCACATTATGGTAGAATACTTTTCATTTAGCATCTGCATTCAAAGTAGAATAGTATCTAACATCTTTCCTTTTTTGTTTGTGGATTTTTGGAATAAATAGAATAAAAACAATGAGAATAAGATAAAAACAATGAAAACCCCATCACACTCAAGATCTTGCAATCACAGTAATCCTCACAGGTGCTGTGGTGCACACTGTAATCCCAGTGACTTGGGAGGCTGAGGCAAGAAGATTGCAAGTTCAAAGCCAGCCTGGGCAATTTAGCCAGGCCATAAGCAACTAAGCAAGATCTTGTCTTAAAATTTTTAAAAAAGGCTAGGTATATGGCTCAGTGGTTAAGCGTCTCTGGGTTCAGTCCCTGGTAATAACAAGAAAAGGTAGTTTATATATAATAAATTAAAAAGTTTAAATAGTACATTAATTGTTCTGACAAGCTGGCACAAGTGTGACAGTGAGGTAGAGCAAAGCAGTGAAAGTGAAGAAGTGTGTTAGAAGACTCCTCCTTGTCGTAGCTAAAGCTGCAGTATTCCGATTACATTTATTATTGACTAGATGGAAAAACAACAGCAACAATCCTTCAAAACTACAAAGGTAGAGTTAAGAGTTAAGTACCAATCTATCAGAGCCTATTGTCATTTACTTAAATGTAGCATCCAGTAATTATGACAATTTCTTTTAAGTTTTTTTTTTCTTAGCTAAGTATAGGTTCACAAGAGTTGCAAAGAAATCTGCAGATAGGTCTCATCTACTATCTTCTCATTTCTTCAAATGTTATCATCTTGTATAATTATACTATAAAATCAAATCTAGAAAATTGGCACTGCTAAAAACCCCAGAGTTTATTCAGATTTCAAGATTTTTACATGAACTTGTTTTTTTGGGGATAGGCATAATATTTTTATATGAGTCCCTGAGCTGTAGTACTATACAATGTTGGCATTTTGTCTTATCTATGGTTTTATATGACTACCACTAAAGATTCATTTTTTTATTAGTGCATATTCATTTACACAGAATAGTGTGTATCTTTGTGTCATATTTGTATATGCATATAAAACATATTTTATCATTTACATCCTCTACTATCCACTATTACCCCCTGAATCTCTTCCTCTTCACTGCCTCTTTTCTACATTCCTATCACTCCTCTCTACATTGCTCCAGCTTTCACATATGAGAGAAAAGATGTACATATCTTTCTAAATATGGCTTATCCTGCTTAACACAATGATCTCTAGTTCCATCCATTTTCCTGCAACTGATATGATTCTGTTCCTATTTATTGGCTAAATAACATTCTACTGTGTATATACACATGTTCTTTTCACCCATTCATTTATTTATAGGCACCCAGGTTGATTGCATAACTTGGCTTTTACAAATTATGACCTAATAAACATAATATGCAAGTATCTCTATTGTATGCTGACTTAGAATTTTGTATATATACTGAAAAGGGGTATAGCTAGATCATATAGTAGTTCTACTTTTAATATTTAGAGGAACTTCAATACTGATTTCCCTAGTATTACCATTCCTTACCAGTAGTATATGAGGGTTCCTTTTCTCTGCATACATGCCAGTATTTGTTGTTACTATTTTTTGATGATGCCATTCTGACTGTGATAAGATGAAATATCAATGGAGTTTTGATTTGCATTTCCCTGATGTCTAAAGTTGTTGAAAATCATTTTTTCACATAATTATTGGTCATTTGTATTTCTTTTGAGAAATACAAACTTCAGTTCATTTGACATTTATTGGTTGTGTGTGTGTGTGTGTGTGTGTGTGTCTGTGTGTTGAGTCTTTACATATTCTGAATGTAAATTCTTGGTAAGAAGAGGAGTTAGCAAAAATTTTACTCAAATTATGAAGATTGTCTCTATACTCTGTTTATTGGTTTCTTTGCCATGATAAAAGTTTTTAATTTTTTTATTCCTTTTAGATATACATAATAGTAAATTTACTTTGGCATACCATACATACATGAAGTATAATTTATTTTAATTAGGATCCTAATCTTGAGGTTGTACATGATGCAGACTTACCCTAGTCTTGTATACAAATACAAGGATAGAAAGTTATGTCTGATTAATTCTACTATCCTTCCTATTCTCTTCTTCCTCCCTTCCATTAATTTCCCATGCTCTGATCCAATGGACTTCTATTCTTTCCCTCCCCCACCCTCTCTTATTAGCATAGTATAGCTATTGTAAATTGAGAATCAGATGGGTATAGCTGTGTGAACTTTTTTTTTAATGTCCTTTATTTTATTCTGTTTGGCTATGTACCTGTTTTAATGCTAGTAGCATGTGATTTTTGTTACTATGGTTCTGTACTAAATTTTGAAATCAGATATTGTTGTACCTCCAGGATTATTGTTCGATTTATTTATTTATTTATTTATTTATTTATTTTTTGCTCAGAATTGCTTTGGTTATTTTGGATGTTGTTTTGCTTTGTTGTTTATTTGTATAAATTTTAGAATTATTTTCTTTAGTTCTGTGAAGACTATCAGATATTTTGACAGGGATTGCACTGAACTTGTAGATAGCTTTCAGTAGCGTGGACATTTCAACAATGTTAATTCTTTCAATTCATGAACATGGAAAGGCTTTTCATCTCCTAGTGTCTTCTTCATTTCTTCCCTTGGTGTTGGAAATCTTCTTTGTATAGTTCTTTCACTTCCTTAGGTAGGTTTATTCCTATATTTTTTAAGCTATTGTGAATAGAATTGTTTTCCTGATTTCTAAGAGAGTTTGTTATTGTGTAAAGAAAATGCATTGATTTGGGGTGCTGATTTTATATCCTGCTGCTTGTTGAATTTGTTTATCTGATCTTCTTAGATTCTTAACTGCACCATTATCAAAAGATTCCCATGTGCTCTCCCCTTCGTTGCCATGGTTACCCTTCATCCCAACCATTACTCTCAGAAACAACAATTTATTCGGTATCTTTAAAATTATTCACAAATGTTAGTTAATTGAGACCATGTGATTGATTTTGTTCACTCAGCATAATTTCCTCCTTTAAAATTTGATTCATTGAAGTTGTGTGAATAAGTAGTTCATCCCTTTTTGTTTAGCACTATTTCACGGTTCCCATGCATTACAGTGTGGTTAATCATTTACCCATTGGAGGATATTTGTGAAGTTTCCAATTCTGGGCTGTTAAAGATAAAATTTGACAAAGGAAATTTTGTTTATGCATTTTTTTAAAATGAAAATAGACCTTAATTTTCCTATGTACATGAAATAATGTAATAGCTGGGTAACATGGAAAGTCTACATTTAGTCTAAAATGCCCTAGTAAAACTGTTCTTCAGAATGACTGAACTCATATAAAACTGTTTAAAAAAAAAACTGAAAAATTTTAGGAACCTAGGACTAGGCAAAAACGTAAAAGAATGATTAAACAAAATAGAAAAAAATGAGAAACTGGGCCTTATTACAGGTAGAAACCTTTCCTCTGCAAAAGACTCTGTCAAACAGATAATGAAAACATATTGGGGAAGCGGGGAGTTTAAAAATCACATATCTGAAAAATAACTTGTGTATGAAATATAAGGAGAATTCTCAAAACTCAGCATTTAAAATTATCCAGTTAGAAAATGAATATGACACCTTCCACCAAGGAGGACATACATTAAGCAAATAAGAACTCAAAAGAACACTCAGCACATTAGCCATTAAACTGAGCATCAAAACTGAATACAAATTAAGTTAGATGTTATTGTATAATCTATAAGAAAGTTAAAAATATAAATAAATAAATAAATAAACAAACAAACATGACTCACCAAATGAGAAGAGATAGGCAATTACTGCATCAATTATGCATTGGTAGTAGAACTTTTTATTAAACTTTTTTTTTTATCGAGGACTGAATTGTGTCTTAAACAAAAAGTTCATGTACTGAAACCATCATCTACAATGTGACTAAGAGAAAGAATTTGTAGGTAGTGATGATTCGATGATGTCATACAAGAGTGGTTCTAGTCTGACAAGACTATTGTACTTAGAAATAAGAGGAAGAGATACCAGAGTCAAATTTGTCTTCTCACGTGCAGTAGACTGGTCCTGTGAAGTCACAGAGAGAAGGTGGCCATCTGTGAGGGATCAAAAGGCCTCACTTCCAACCCTGAAGCACCTTAATTTTGGAATCTTTGTTTCCATAGCTGTCAGAAAATAAATGAGTGGCATTTAATAAAGTCAAGCAGTCTGTGGTGTTGACTCACACAGCCCGAGCCAGCTAACATATTTTGTTAATGTGAACGGAGATGTCTATTCTCATTGTACCACATATGTGGAACAAGTCACGAAAGAAAGAAAGAATGGGTCCAAGGATGAGAACCAGGAAAAAAATTAACAAAACAAAAGCTCTGTTTTAACTAAAGACTTACCTCTTGATAGATATTCTGCATTGTGTTTTGGTGATACATGCAGTTCTCATACACTTGGGCCACAGAGAAGCTTTAATTCTAGGTGGAGTGACCGAAGTCTAGAAATTATCCAGAGAACATAAAGTGTGAAGAAAACATGGATGGTACAATTGCATGAACTACACTTTTGTGTTCATCAGTAAAATTATCTTTTGCCTTCTGTGATTTTCTGGAAGGAAAAAAATCTCTTCAAAAATTTAGTTGATAAATTATAAAAGTTGGAAACATGCAGAATCACTTAACATTACATTTGTTGTTTCCTTATTTTGTATAAAGATATAGTGCAAAATATCAGTGAGTGAAATGTCTATCTCCTAAAGTTTTCTTCTTAAAATGTTAAATTAAAAAATATAAATCTAATAGAAGTAAAATTGAACCAATGGTATTAAAGTAATCTTATGTGTACCCCTGAGCCTTTGGATAATTCTAGTCTACAGAAAACATACTCCTAAGAATCGAGAAATCACCTGCATATAAAAAAACACTATGACTTGAACTACTGGTGTCAAACATATATCTAAGTCAAAATTTCAAGAAGAGAGTTGGCAAAAATGATCCAGTTTCATAAATGTTTACAAGATTATGGATAAAAATGATGTAGTAGACAGCTGTGTAGAAAAGATATCCTTGATAAGTTCTCCTAAAGATTTGATCAAGATAATAGAAATGTTGACAAAATTTTTAGATGTTTCATTAGAGGTTAAGAAGAAGAAAATTCAGCCATAAAAAATAAACAGGATCACATAGGAATGTTTTTAGATAATCCTCACAATAATTTAATCATATATTTGTGTGTGCTGGTAATACATGAAATTATAAAGTAATTCTTGAACATCTTTTCAATAGTATGCTGTGATCAAAATTCTCCAGCAGATGGTAAGGAGAACAGAGAGTTGGAAAAGAGGAATGTTTTCCATCACAAAAACCATTGGTGTATGAAGATAACCAAATGATTTTTTTTCATATAGGGTCAAAATTTCAAGGAAATAAGTCAATTTTAAATCATTAAGTCAGATCATCTTACTAGAATTAAATTTCTAACATAAATCACTAACAGAGAATGGATCAGAATGAGCTAAGTTTCCTTATGAAACTTCTAAGTAATTTTATTCATTGGTGAATATACGCCCACCAATTGATCTTTTCCAAATGACTATTTTTTCCCAATATTTCTCTTACCTAGTTTGCAGTAAATTTTATTGGAGCTTAGAACTTGTAGTTAAGTTCTTTACTTCCCTTTTACTGTTCCCTTAGTCTCTGAAAAATGTCACAAAATCATGAAATTCTCTCTATTAAAAGAATTCCAAGTATTAAATTTTCCTCAATCACAATTTCATTTTTGTCTTTTTCTGGGAATTTGTAGGAGAGGGAAACATATCACAAAGTGGTAGAGATATCAGTTTTCGCCCACTCAGTGACTTTTTGTGTGTTCATATATAAATTATTTAAAGAATTTCATTCTGGCACAGAAATGATTCATCTGTTCTCTTACCAGGAGCTGAAGATACTCAGTAAAATCAACGAATTGGGATTATTCCCCAAAATGTGAATTGTAAAATGTTGTGGAGAAAATGATAGCAGAGGAAATACTGTTCATTTGATGCTAATTTACTGAATTCTTTATAAACTTACTTGTTCTTCACAGTTATTTCATATTTGATTTTGATGCACCCGCAATGACTATATCTCTCCAAAACACTGCTGAAGTCAGAACTATTCTTTAAATAAGTCACTGCATATCTTTAGAAGGTTCAAATTAAATAAAATGCTTAATTTTAATAACACATTTTAATATTGAGAAAACAATACATAATCTTCATTGCTGAATGCATATTGATAAGGGGCACAAGGGTTACTGATAAAAAAATCAGGTGCACTTTTTTAATTTAATATTTCTTAATTTTTTGGTACCAGAAATTTAATCAATAGATGCTTTATCATCAAGTCAATCCTCAGCCCTTCTTATTTTTTGAGAAAGGGTCTCCCTAAATTGCTTAGGGCCTCATTAAGTCACTGAGGCTAGCCTACTTTCAAACTTGCAATCCTCCTGCTATAGCCTCTTGAGTCACCAAGATTATAGGTATGCACCAACATGCTCAGCCTAACTCTGTATATTTTTGACATGCATTATAAACATTTTGAACTGCAATAAAGTCAATATCTTAAGTAACATGCTTAAGTCTAAATGATTTATTTTCTTAAATTGGACATCTTTCTTCTTCTACTTCTTCTTCTTCTTATTATTATTATTATCATTATTTTAAATCTGACATTTGTTATGTATTTATTATGAGCTATTAGTTCCAACTAGTGAAAGAAAATAATCAAATTCATCAGTTCTTTGGTAAGCATGCTCTCCAATTGCCATATATCTCTAGTTGCATATCTTTAACTGCCTACCAGTTTCTTTTACTGATCCTCATGGTAGCCTGAGTTTGACATATGTGACTTGAGACTGCACCAGACTCTTTTTTTTCTTTTTAAGTTTTCATGCTATCCTGACTTTTAAAAATAAATAAATTTCTGAAAAATTATGACATACTATTTATCCATTAAAATCACTTTTAGTGACATGGAAAAATAACTATGCCTATTATTAAGTGAAAAAAATCTAGAATGTAAAATAAAAAAGAATGTAAACAATTATCTTGGTTGTGTAAAAGCTATGTATTGAAAAAGTGGAAAATATAAATATAAAATTGTATTCATGTTTACCTAATTTTCCCATGTATTCTTTTTGTTTTTAAATTTTCTTGATTTCTACAATGAAAGTTTTCTGTAATTATTATTGTTAATATTACTAGCTTAAGGAAGCCTTGGGTTCAGGTTTTAGCAAAACTTCCTGGAGCTATACAGACTGGGACAAATCTCTCAGTATCTTTTAGTCTGTAGTTGCCACAAGTAATGAATAAAATAGCTGCCCTAGCTATCATACAAGGTTGTTTTGGGGATTGAATCTGTCAGATAATAGATTTATTTGATGGGGCTATTTATTTAGTGGGGCTATGTCAGTTGTAGTCAATGCACCCAAATATCATCATCTTTCTACATCAAGTTTCATTTTTGGGTCTCTGAATTGCTCATTTGCTCCCTCATTGCTATAATAGAAGTACTTACAGTTGTAGTTGGAAAGGAAGAATTTGTCTGGATCAGGGAGGGTCTTGAATTAAAACATGATTCTAAAGGCCAGTGTGTTCCAATCTATCATTATTCTTGTAGAGGTTGAGTGTTCCTTTTCAGAAATGGTAGATGCCAAAAGTGTTTTATATTTGGAATTTTTTGTGTGTTTTGGAATAATTACAATGCATAATGGAATATTTAGGTATCAAAACTGTCCCAGTGTAAAATTTGATTATGTTTCATAAACACTTTTATACATATAAACTGAAATTAGTAAATTTATGCAATAATTTTAGTGCCCCTGTCTTTTAACTGTACCTGGCACATGAGATGAGGTCTGGAATTCCCACTTTGGGTATCTTATCAGGGCTTAAAAGTTTTTGAATTTTTGAGCATTTTGAATTTTGGATTTTCAGACTTGGGGTGATCAAACTGCATAGTCTGCATCTTTTTTCCATATCTACATACCAAAACTACAATTAGATCTTCTTCAACTTGATTTCCCTTTGAATTTTTAATATATAGACTTAATATTAATGATTTTGTTTTTATTATAATTGTCTCATATGCATGTGAAAGTAGGAACATGACTCAGAAAATAAAAATATGAATTTACCCTTCACCTTAAATGATCTTTCATGTAATCAGTTGTAGGCATTCCTCAACTTGTGAAACAGTGAGAGCAATGGTTTTCCTGATTGTGAGAAGTTACTTTCTGAGTTGCTTTTGAAGAAAGCATTCAGCAGTCCTGTTTGAGCTGGAAAGAATTAGCTGACAGTGATGAAATTATCCCCAGAAGTGGAGGAGAAGGCAGGGTGAGGTGAGAAGTATTCATTTCTATGAAGCAGCAGCTAACTTCTATTTGTGGCAAATTGTCAATATTTTACAAAATTTAAATGCTCACATATTTGACAGCAATTCAGCTTCTACAAATGTAAACTTCTCTGTTTATTTCTGTATCTACTGTTATATTATACATACACACAAAAAGTTAGAATAGATTGCTACAGTCTGAATGCCGCAGTCTGGCTGGGCACAAAAATCATGAGCCACTCACAGACTTGTAGATTCAAACAGCAATTCTTTATTCCCGAACTCTCACAGGCACTCTACACGCATGTTCTGGGAAAATTCACACTCCACTGGGCTGGGCATACCAAAATACCCTCTGAATCCTTCCAGAACTCAACTGGAACTCAAGGAGCGAGCAGGCGCCTGAGGCAGCAGGATATGCCCTATTCCCAGCAGGATCCACCATAAACCCAGATCCACCCTAAACCCGGACCCTGAGCAAGGTCACCTTTCATGCAATGTCACTGCAAATGACCTGGGGCCAAGGCAAGCCCATTTCCACAATGGAGAGTCCTC